AAGCCCAACTTATTTTGCAGTATTCTATACCTACTCTAGCAAGGGGGTCGTTTTCTAAAAATACCCTGTATATCTTCGAAGAGCAAAATTTCGAACATTCTAATTCTTATTTGTATTAAATATTGAATTGGGCTGCTTCAGCTGCGTTATGATCAACTTCATTTATCAAAACCATAACTACCAAGATTTCCATATTTACTATGACAGCAAAGCTGTGAAACTTCCTGGCATAGTCCTCAAAAGTACGTTCATTCCAGACTAGACCGGAAAAATGCTACTTTCTCAAAAACACATTTTTGAATTTTGGTTTTTTGAACCCCCAGATAAACATTTTTCTTAAGATGCTTCTTTTTTTTATCAAAAAAACTATCATAGTGTAAAGCAAATGACGCGAGTATGAAGTAAACAAACCGTCAGACCACTTGATTCGAAACATAAAAATGTTAGATAAAGATTATTTTTTGACAAACAAGTGACAAGTGACAAATGTCATCTATCAAATACACAAAACATTGAAGTTGACTCAAAAAGTTCATAACAAACAAGAAAATGTGTCTAGATTGACTAAGTCGGGTATTTAAAATTGTGTTTTTTGAATTGGGAATGACAACATTAAACAAAAGGATTGCCAATGCAATCAATGATTGGAGAGGGAGATTACAAAATGGAATTGAAAGTGGATAGGCAATCAAATCTAACTTGTTCATTAAGGCAGACAGTTGAATTTGAATGAGCAGATCTATTGACTTCTAAAATTTCCAGAAGGTTAAGCTTTTTGCCTTTAGGATGAACATGTAGGACTTCAAAATCTTGTAGTATATTATGTTTGTGTTTATGCTCGAGAACATGGTTTGCGAAAGAAGATGTAGTGTCGATAATATCAGAGTTACTATATTTGTCAATTGTATTTATATGTTCTGCTATCCTGGTGGAAAAAGCTCTCCCTGTCTGACCAACGTATTCTGGTGAATAAGGTGAATATCAAATCAGTGTGGAAAAATGATAATGCAATCTGGATTGAAACCCGATATCGATTATCCTCTTCTTTTTTTTTATTACTAATGTCAAAAAGTTGACATACTATTCTGATGAGTGTTCAATATACCAGTGTCGGGTGGGTTAGAGGTTATATGGGTTCGTAAAGGGGTTCAAGCCTCTTAGCAAAGATGATAGCTTTCCCCTTCTGTACCCGCTACTGTTATACATACTAATACCATCGCTGAGGAAAGCCGTGAAATATAGTGTACTTTCGGCTTTAACTTTAACGTAGGCGTGCTGAAAAGAATATTTAATTTTCCTTAAACGGTATAGTTTATTACGAACATCAGCAGCAAGGGCAGATGATGGGGTTTATTTCCGTTACAGGGAACATTTTCAGCCATATTTCCACGAAATGTTGCGAATATCAGCTTCCGAGGTGCTGGAATAGATCGTTTTTCTCAAGCTCAGTTTGATAGATCAGTTCAGCTATTCGGGTTTGGGTTTATCACGTATACAGGGTGTTTCTGAACTCCCAACGAATTCTCTCGTGAGACAAAAATTAGAAAACACTTCATATAATCGTCCGTGGTTTTAATTCCGTATCTCGTGCTACGCTGTTTCTGAATAAAACTATCTAATCACTGGAATGCAAGGGGAAGCACAGCAGTCACCGACTAACTCAATCAATGCTATGGGTTCGAACCAGAAAAATTTATATCGCGCCAGTGAATTGTAAGAGCCAGTCCAACTCACAGGCTGCTCCTGATATTGATGGAGAATTCCAAGTGATTGTAACAATAATGAGCGTTGAAATAATGAATAGAAAATAAATTAATGGTGTGGTGTGGTATGAAGACTACACATATCTCTCGAGTATAGGAAAGGTTGGTGGAATACAAAAACTCTGACAGTATATTTACAAACCTCTATTCAATGAATCATTCACTTCAGGAGAAAATACATGTACGTTACCCCAAAGTCCCTGGCAAGTACCAGACCAGGTAGATCTTCCGATGTCCCGTTGTGATCACATGGGGCTGACAACTGGAAGTGGTCCTGGAAAATATATATTAATGGGCTCGAGATCAGTGTCTCTAATTACTAGCCCAACACTCTATATATGAAGGTTTGATAAATATCACTGTTGAATATAATATATGTATGTAAAATTTAGATTGAAAAGCTCTATGCAAATTAATTCCCGGAAACGATATAGTGTGAAGTTTGAAAAATAGAATTATAAAGTTGAGATACAGATATATATCTACATATATGAAGTTACGGTCCTGTCTTTAACCAGTCCAAAAACTTCCTGTCCTGAATATTGAGGAGGATGCCGCACTTGTGTTAATTCAGCGTTGGATAGACGTGGCCTCCAACAAACACTCGAAGTAACCTCAAAGTCCTCAGCCTGATCTAGAGATTCAGAGTCAGATGTACCTGCTAGCTCGATGGTGCGGATGGTAGAATTAACCCGAAGGGGGTAGGAGTGAACCCTATGATAATGTAGAATTAAACATTGCAAAATTTTCAAACATACGGTACATACCTCAGCGTCTGGAGGGTTCAAAATGGCGGCATGTGACAACTCGTAAAAATCCCCAATATGGGAAATCTTCCTTTGTATGACAAATCACAATGACTCTACTAGTCCACAATAATAAAAGGAAGATTGTACATACAGGTAATCAATAGAAATCCACTATAAGTGATTATATATGATTATTGAAACCTGCTACGGTATCACAAGCCGACTCTCGTATCGTCACCACAGGAAAGAAGCCGTAACACCCGTTGAATTCGAAACTTCACTTCAATTATGACAACTGTCAAACATTTGCCAAACCTTTGATGTTTATCGGTCACCAAGGATCCATAACAATGAAGAATAGCCAAATGCACAAAAATATTATACAAGGTGATCAGAAAAACAATATGCACGATGTATTCTTCAACGAACGAACGTTTTTGGTATGCACACTGAGGATCATAGAAATAGTAGTAGTAGATTCTTCTCAATGAAATGAAGCAAACTCATGACTAATGAATAAAATGAGTACTTATGATTCTACTGAATTTGAACTGTAACAACTCCCCCTCTTCTTCCGGAGGAAGTGAAGTTCCATGAACTTTACTGACGATAATTAGAATGAATTTAAGTAACCAAGAACGAACGTTGTTGATGAAGATACAATATTAGGATGATTAACCTAATCTGGAAAATTATTGTCGAGATTCGATTGATCCAACTTGAGATCTTGAACATGCCAAATCCCCTTTTGGTTTCCTAGCTCATCCTCTAACTCATATGTCCAAGCACCAATTTTTCTACGAATTTTAAAAGGTCCGACAAACTTAGGAGCAAGCTTCGCCGTGAAATAATTGATAGCATCAGACTGAACTCTGTTTCTTCGCCAAACTTTATCACCCTGTGCAAAAGTAACCATACGCCTATGGGAATCAAAAACTTTCTTACTACGGTCTTGGGATTTCAAATGCACAAAAATATTATACAAGGTGATCAGAAAAACAATATGCACGATGTATTCTTCAACGAACGAACGTTTTTGGTATGCACACTGAGGATCATAGAAATAGTAGTAGTAGATTCTTCTCAATGAAGAGTACTTATGATTCTACTGAATTTGAACTGTAACACTCGGACATCGTTCACTGAATATGAACTAGAGTCAGCTCAACATTCAGGTATTATCAACGATAGGCAATATGGCTTCCGTCATCAGAGATCAACTGGTGACCTGCTCGCTTACGTCTCACATATTTATATGGCGGCAATGTATTGAAAAATATGGTGAAACCTTAGCCGTGGCACTTGATATCTCCAAGGCATTCGATCGAGTCTGGCACCACGGACTCCTCGCCAAGCTTCCATCTGATGGCTTGCCTCCCCAGCTATATTCAGTGCTAGCTAGTTTTCTAACAAACAGGTCTCTTCATGTAGTGGTCGACGGAGTTTCATCTGACTCTCTTATCATAAATGCTGGTGTTCCGCAAGGATCAATTCTAACACCAACACTATTTCTACTCCATATCAACGATTTGTTGGGAGCAACTTGATGTCCAGTACACAGCTTCGCGGATGATTGTACCCTCCATACCGCCTTCCCTTCCAGGGCTCCAATACCAGCCAGGCAAATCAGAAACGAACGAAAGAGAAATGTTGACAACATAAATATGGACTTGGCAACAATTCTCGAATGGGGATCCAATAACTTGGTAGATTTCAATGCAAACAAAACACAAGCATGCCTTTTCTCTAGAAAAGGGATATCCTGTAATGTTTAGAGAACATCGTGAGAACCAAGGGAAATAAGGTAGGAATTGGTGTTCTTGTTAAATTTCTGGAGGTTATATATGCCTCGGGGAACATCTCCCTTGGCAATGTGTTCCTGAGCCTCGCTGTTCGTTGGATGAACGAGTCTTTGGAAAGAGATGTTCTGCAAGTCTCCAAAGTGACCACGAAGGGGTATGTGAAGTCACAACTCGACGGGTTAATCTCGCGGGGACTGCCAAGGGAGGAACAATTGTTGATATTTCAGAAGAGCATCGTCCATGAAAATATCTATAAAATAGAGCCAGATCGCCAACTTTTCTACGGTGTTCCAGAGAAGTGAGTGGGTTTGTGAGCAAGGCATCACCCACGAGACGAATTGCCCTTTTTTGGACAGAATCCAACAGTTTCAGGGTATGTTTGGGTGCTGCACTCCAAATATGGGAACAGTATTCCAGGATAAGTCGGATCTGTGCCTTATAGATGATAAGCAGCTGACTGTAAATGAAATAGCTCCTGGCCCGAAACAGAAAACCATGTTTTTGGGTTGCACTTGTAGCATTTGATCTCACGTGATTTTCCCAAGAAAGGTTATTGCTGATAGTAATAATAGTAGTAATTTTTGTATAATTTTGTTCCTAATTACGGGCTGTTGATTCAGTTCGCACGTTTTAGCAATAAATTTAATCTCAATTCGATGCTATTCCGATCTACGTAATCAATTCACCTAAAAGGTTTTATTCTCGCTCGAGGGGTCGTCCTTGATGCCCTTGTTTGGGGTGGCGTACGATCGGCCTTCCAATTTGTTTCCCTTTAATTGCTGTTTCCTGTTTACGGGCTCTTTCTGTTCAAGTCGAGGGTTTTCCCGATTCGTTTCTATTTCGGTTCGATTGTTTCGAATGGAAATATATACGCCGAGGTCGGGAAGTTGAAATAATAAAGTAGACACTCCACTCGATAGTGTGAACCGAAAAAAACAACGTCTGTTCACATTATCGATTTATTTAAGTTAACGGTTATATTCAATATGTGATACTCATTCAAATAAACAATAACAAATTTAGAAGAAAAGGTTACAAAGAATTATTTTTTGTTGAAAAAGTCAGAAATTTTTGTTATTACCGCATATTTCAGGGATATTTTCTGAAATACAAATAACACTTTGTGAAATTCAATTGACTATTCTGAAATACCATTGACGCTTTCTGAAATTTAATAGACTATTCTGAAATATATTTGATGCTTTTTGAAATAATGTCATAATTTCGGCTATTCTCGAAATGAAGAATTCTTTGTCAACATTTCGACTTTATCTGAAAATTTCTACTTCTATGTCGAGATTTCTGCTGTTATCTCGAAATTTCAATTTTCTCTCCAAATCCGTTTGCAAGATTTACCAGAAGATACAGTGAAATTTAAAAATTCGAAAATATTTGCAACCTATTTTTAAATTTTTTTGAATTTCCTGTGAGAGATGAGCTGAGCACGGCGGTTATAATCATCAACTTCTGGTTTTTCAGGAAATGCCAGCAACTTCATTTTTTCAAATGGAACACCCTGTATATTTTTACATATGCATATTCAACAGGTCAAAACAAGTGCAATCAATCTTATGACAAAATTCAGAAATGGTGGCCGATAGGGGATCCATTTATATTTTTTCAGAGAAAATTATGTTTCTTCAGTATGTGGGATTTATTGTGAATAGCTAGCTAGAAATGACATTTGAAATAAAGATAGCACTCGTTTGGTGAAACGGAGAAACCTAAAGTCCGCCATATTGGAATGTAATGCGATCAAATTCGAAATGGTTGATTATATAACTGTATCAAATTTCAGAAAAATCCGTTCACGAATGCAGAAGCTGTGTCACCCGGTAGAGTTCAAATTTCGTTTGGGGTTATTTCAGCTATGTCTGAATCGGATAGGCTCTCCACTATTTCGAAAAATATATGCCTTATAGTCGTTTTTGAGATTTTGACACTCATCAAATAATAGAGGTCTTTGGAAATTTCAATATTTCAGATTTGTCCACATTTTCGAAAAAACTCGTTGTGTAATTTAAGAGGGTGTTGCGAGTTGAAATCGCACACACCACACACTGTATATTTTTGATCATCGTCAAAAATTTTATTTATAGTATATCTTGTGTTTGTGGAAATTTTTATACAGGTGAAACCAAGAAGAACATAAATACAATATGAAGAAAAGACACATCGACAAATCGAAAATAGCTGAACATATCCTTATACTGAAGATGAACAACATATATGGCAGAGTAGAATAATATTAAAATCATTGGAAAAGAAGATAACCAGAAGAGAAAAATCAAGGAATCTGCTTTCATTCTTCTGAACGGAGACAATAGCATTGCTTCCTGTTCAGTTGATATAGATAGAACATGGTATTTACTACTGAAATCTGAAAATGGAAATGGTAAATTCAAGATCAATTAATGAAAACATCCTGTGACTCATTTGATTACCAACGTCACCAATTGTCACTGAGAACTGAGAATTTTCCATACAAAAAATACATTTTTTATGTTGACAACGGGAGCAGATTCGTTCCCAAAACGTCCAAAGGTAAGTGAAAATTCGATAATTTTTTTATATACCTTTGTTTCTCTTCTTCAAACCTTTTTCAATATAAATTGTCACTGACAAGCTGGTGAATTTTTCTTTTAGGCTCTCTGATAGGAAAATTCTTTAAACGCAGGGACATTTTGGGGCAAATCCTCTGATTTGTCCTCACTACACGTATATTGAAATAGTATTCATATTTTTTTTTATTAGACGAGGAGAGAAAATCCAAGAAACAAATCTGGAATGATGAATTTGATCATTTTGTTGAAAATAAAATTAAGAAACTTAACAACAAAATAGGTCCCTCTAAAATTTGTTGTTCAGTGAATTTCCTCGATTGTGTCCAATTTCCGTAATAGAGCTCTCTACGAAGCCCTGGAAGGGACACAAAATAAAAAAATGAAATCCTTCTAAATTCTGAGTTATAACTCGGAATTTTAAAATTCCGACTTATATCTCGGAATTTTACATTCAAAATTCCGAGTTATAACGCAGAATTTTAAAATTCCGAGTTATAACTCGGAATTTCACATCCAATATTCCGAGTTATAACTCAGAATTTCAAAATTCCGAGATATAAGTCGGAATTTTAACGTAAAATTTCGAGTTATAAGTCGGAATTTTACATCCAAAATTCCGAGTTATAACTCGGAATTTTGAAATTCCGAGCAATAAGTCGGAACTTTGATGTAAAATTCCGAGTTATAACACAGAATTTCAAAATTCTGAGTTATAACTCGGATTTTGGGAGTAAAATTCCGAGATATAAGTCGGAGTTTTAAAATTTTGAGTTATAACTCAGAATTTTGAAGAGTTAACATTTTTTTTCATTTTATGTGTCCCTTCCAGGGCTTCGTAGTACGAAGTTATAACTCGGAATTTTGAATGTAAAATTCCGAGATATGTCGGAATTTTAAAATTCCGAGTTATAACTCAGAATTTAGAAGAATTTTATTTTTTTATTTTGTTTCCCTTCCAGGGCTTCGTAGCTCTCTGTATAATTTTTCGGACAATTAATTCATGTTCGTCACCCACAAATCTGACGATGACCCGTCGCTTCGGTATGTGGCAGCCGCGCGAATGCATATATAAGCTAATCAGAATTTCAAATAGGTCTAGGAGGCACTTGTCGAACTTCATGAAAATGCATCGATTTGCGGAATGCGCCGCGCTGCATCACAAGTTTGTTTCCGGGAAAAATCGCTCGAATTTACGAGAAGGCCGCGGCCATGACCTTGATCGTGTCGATCGTGAAAATTGTGCGCATTTTCCTATTGGGATTGCTACACCTATTCCAATTTTAGTTCAGAAAAAGTCAAGTTGATTTCAAAAAGTATCAAATGTATTTCAAAATTATCAGCTCAATTCCAAAATGCGTCAATTCAATTTCAAATTAGTCATTTCAATATCAAAAAATTCTATTTCAATTACAAAATCCATCATTTCAATTTCAATACTCAATCCTTCTATTGATGATGCCACAATGACAGGAACCAGGAACCAGAAGCCAGAGCGATCCATTAACATAGTGAATGAAAATATCACCTTTGCCTGTGCTTTTTCAGTTTTGAAATTCGAATGTGCATTATCAAATACTTTTGATATTTTTTGAAATACAAATGACTATTTTGGAATTTGAAGTGATAGTTTTTGAAACTCAGTTGATAATTTTGAAATACAATTGATGTTTTCTGAAATTAAAATGACTAATTTGAAATACAATAGACGCATTCTGAAATTGAATTGATAATTTTGAAATACATTTGATACTTTTCGAAATTAAATTGATTAATTTGAAATGCAAATAATGCTTTATGAAATCCAAATGACAATTTGAAAATACAAATGACCATTTTTGAACTGAAATTGGAAAAGGTGTAGTCAGGGATTTTTCAATTTTTCAATTTATACAAGGTCCTGCATCTCACCTCCCGTCTTGAATAGCTCAGTTATCAGTAGAGTCAGGATTTTGATATATAATATGGATGGGGCTTAACAAACCATTCCCATTTTTGACCTAGAAAAGCATTAGACCCTGCAAACATGAGGCTGATGTTCGAATTGATTCACGACAAAAAGAACCGGGAACTAATTTTATTGTATCCCAAGAAAGCACGAGGGCTTTCCCAATATCCCTCCGATCGCATAGGGTGACAGCCGGCTTATTGATGGTCGCCGTAATCGCAGGAAAGCGATATTCGTAGTCCACTCTTGTGGGAGAAAGGATATTTATGGTCCCAGAGAGGAATCGAACGTTCATTGTTCCAATCAAAATCACAGCGGACAATTGAACGCCAAAAAAACTATCTGTTCAGGCCAAACTAGGAGATCCCTTGAAACTAGGCGCAAAGAACATCTAGCACATTTTAGTATTGGAGGTCAATCAAATATAATTTCTAGTTTATGAACAGGGTGGTAATCGATAAACCTAGCTATTAATAACTTACTTATTATTAATATATCTTGCAAGCAGCTTCAGTGCCAATGAGAATATGGAATATCCTAATATTCCTAATAATGATCGAGATTTTGTTCAATTCTAGAAATGTTTTGAATCTTCAAATCCTATCATCTAGTCAGGTCTAACAAATTCTGCGAATCGAACATAATCCTCAGATTATCTGATTCTTTAGTTATGTGTTGTGCATGTTCTTTATTATCTGCTATGAGAGATGATAGTTAGGGTTAGTACTTTGAAATAATGAAATGAAATTGTTCAATGAAACAGTTCCATTTGCCTTCAATCTGACACATTTCATCGCTATATACGGGCTGTCTCGAAATTACATAGAAAGATTATTCACAGAATAATTTTTGGGAAAATTCTGTAACCGATTAAGGAAAGCAGGAAAGCACTAAGAATCTTTCGGAATTTTTATTACGCAGCAGAATTTTAAAATCGAATTATCTCGAAAACGATGGATGCTATCGAAACTAAATGAGAGTATATTTAGGTAAAAATGTTGAGAGTTCCATATTTCCTGATCATTTTCAAATTGGGCATAAAAAGTTAGGTAACGGACAAAATTTGATAATTTTATCTCAGAGAGTCTCGAAAATATTCACAAAAACTATCATCTCCCCTTTCAGCTGGCTATAACCCCCCAGGGGGTTTCTCTCTGGACCCATGTTTTTGTAAAGTTTTTTCACTATGATTGTTCCTCAAATCCGTGGTTGAAATATTTCAATGTGATTTCGGGACACCCTGTAGACAAGGTGGCCCCGAAATCTCTGTACAAAATCTCAGCACATATTCCTG